AGATGCACATGTGAAGCTATTATTCATTTACGATAAAATAACCCCTTAAGTCAGATATTCATTAAAAATCGTAAAACTTTATTATTTGATGTTATGATCATTATTATTGCGATGATACTGCATTTGACAAATAATATTTGAACAAACTTATTTTTCATTACGAGAGAATAATTATTTACCTATCGACAGTCTTCTGTAATTTGATAAAGAGAGATTCTGTCATTAAGGGGTTAAAGCAAAATCACAGTGTATGTAAAAAAAAGATGGTTAAATACCTTGCACAATTCTTCTACAGTTTTCCGCTACAATAGCGGTCAAATATGGCAGGGTCGAGGGAGCAGGATCATAGGAATGGTAGTAAAGCGAAGAAAAAAATTAAAACAACAAAATAAATATATATATTGTTATTTTCAACATACGCCACATGCTGATCGCATTGTAGATTAAGCGAAACAGAAAAGAAAATATATAAGTATATTTAACGATACACGCCGACGATCTCCGCGGTCTCGCCGCGCCGCCGGCCATTTAGAGTCGAACAATAGCTACTAAACAAAAAAAGAAAGAATAGAGAAAAATAAAAGAACTAAACAAAAAAATGGAAGATTAAGAATAAACGCGGAGCGGCGTTACACACGGCGATAGAAGGCGAATACCATCGCGTACGCAACATTCACGTCGTATGTATACATCCGTACACTCTGTACATTCTGTACGTATACAGAAATGTATACACAAAAGAAAAAAAAACATACATTTAATGCCCGAACACAAAATGCACGTTCATACATGCCACGTACATACGCGCGTATGCGAAAAACTGCCAATGTGCATGTAAAGTAATTACAGCAATAAGTCTCTGTTCGCATTTACGATTGATTCTGCGATCGTCGTTAAATCGGTCTAATTAAAAGAGTGGGATTAATGCGCCTTTCTAGGAGCATTCAGATGATCTTCGTGAATTTTAAGTCATGTAAATATTGGTAATATCTATTTGAAAAATAGACATTTATTTCTCATATATATTTTTGATGCAAGTATTGATAAAATACGTCAATTATTTGAAAGTAAATATGAGTTATAAATTCACAAAAAAATCTCTCTTAAAATAATTTGCGTTCTGATGAATTACCTTTTATAAGATTAAGTACTCCTACAATTGTTTAAGTACTGAATACCGCATTCTTTGCCTAAAATGTTTAACATGTCGAGTGCTAAACACAAATATATGAAATATTGATCGAATTTTGATGTTCTATTCATTGGCATACTCATACGCAAAAAATAGTCCAAATGTAATGTTGTAATTTTACAGTCTTTTTTTCTTTACATGTAACTATATATATTATTTTTGTGATTTATGAGCCTTTATGCTATTATTAAAAATTTTGATTGGCCAACATTTTAGTTAAATCAATCACTAGCTTTGATTACAGTCATTTTTCTTTGTCTGTAAGATTAAAATAGGACTTCAGCAACGTGTTTACATACAATAATAGCGACACTCAACGTATTAACATCAAGACCAGATTTGGTTAGACATGATTCATCATCTCGAAAACTCTGATAGTGGCGTATTCCCATCTTTTAACAAAAAAAAGGCATACATTTTGCATCAGAGGAGAGAAACGCGATGGACGAACAAACTAAAAAAAAAAAAGAACAAAAATTCGATTTAGCATATAAGAAAACAAAATAAAGAAGCACGACAGATTGTTAACGACGCAAATACGGTACTCAACAGTATAACATTAATCTTACGAGGTAATAGCTCAAACATTTAAAAACAAAAACATACTCTCATCAACAGAGTTATATTACGATTGTAAAAATCGATGAATAATATATAATTCGGATAGACAGTCGTACCAGTGAAATGTTGGTCGAATAAGATCACCAAATTGATCGATTCGTGTGCAAAAGAGAAAGAGGAAAGAAAATTAAGATTGTTAACGCGACGGCGAAGTTAGTTAAATTGTTTATAATGTTCATAAACAATGTAAACAATATAAGAGTAAATATTTGCCAGTTACATAAAAATCGAAAATAATGCTAGAAATATCTATTCCTCTTCATTTTTTTGAGACACAAAAATGTTTGTGTTTATATCTCTTATAAAAGAACAATAATATTTTGTAAGATTTGCCTGGACATTTGCAATTACTTTTACAAATGCTGAAAAAAAAACATTTTGCTTTCGCCAATCAATTGACATCCAAATGGATAATTAATAAAGAATAAAAAATAATCTAATTAATATAAGACACGAAAATCATTCGTCATAAGTATATTATTCCGTACCGTTATATAATATAAACCTCGTTTGGAAATAACCATCTCAACAAGTGATTCTTACTTGACCGTTTAATAATCACATAAGTACGCGATTCGTTTTCACAAAATTGAATTAATTCTTCATATATTAGCGTCCTCTAAAAACGGACATAAAGTACTTGGCTTTGATTCTAATTCTGACCTAAACTGATAGTCTGCCATTGCAGCACTAAATTAGCGAGCGATCGATATTAGCAGCAGTGACAGATGATAATCGCGATCGCTGTCGCGCGCAAAGTGCTAGTAATAATACATATAAAAGTAATAGAAGTAGTAGTCATAATAGTAATAATAAATGCCAATGGTGGTGTCGCCATCATTGGCAGGAGCACTAATAAACATATAATAATACTAGTAATAAAATAATAATGACCACATAATAATAATAGTAGTAGAACAATAGCAATAATAAGAATGCTTATAATAATAGTAATCAAAATTAGAACAACAGGTATAACTAATAAAGATAAACATAGCAATAATAATAGCCATAATAAACGTAGCAACCTAACAACAGTGTCAACGCACGTGCTGAAGAACAAATGATGAAAATGACACGAACATAGAAGCGATCTTTCAATCGTTAAACGATATTTGTGACTAGGCTCTATTTGTATATACGCACAAGACTAATGTGTACGCGTGCTCGTTTTCTATTGTTCATTAATCGATTTAATCGATTAGTGTTAATCGTAGATCAGTGTTAACCATCCACGCATAGTTTAATTGTTGAAAAAAAAAATAACAAACTATTCCTTTTAAAATTTATAATATTCTACATAGAATTTTAAAATTATTACTTATATGCGAACCTGGCAATTATTTCTATTAAAAAAAGGTATTTTGAAGTTTTATCTGGCTTTTGCCAATTGATCTTGACGTTATAGTTTTAGATAGTTTAGATGTTATGATGTATAATTTCGAAAAATTTGCTTAATTCCAACTTAAATTGATTTAGAAGATAACAAAATAATTTTTTAATAGCATTTTTGTATAAACCATACAAAATATTCCTATATAATTGAATGCTCTATGTATTTTAAGTACATATGATGTAACAAGCAGCTGCTGATTTTGTCATTCATCGATTTACATCACATATGAGGCAATAATTGCAGGTATTCTATACGTAAATAGTTCTTATTCATGCGTAAATGCATAGACATTTAACACTGGCTTGGATTAGTCGTTAGTGTTGCGTAAGTACATCAATTAATTAAAGACACATCTTTGGTAATCCGTACGGAGCATCCGACATTTTTCACTACTCAAAGACAATCGCAAATGTTGGATAAAATTGTCCGTTTGCATACGTTTTACCTGTAATGACGCCGGTGCTCCGTTTATTTGGTCTGATGCATGTTAACGTTGCTGATGACAAAACAAGGCTGTGTACACTTGATCGTAAATGACAATTAATCGTAATGCGGAATGACAGAAATTATTCTGTTTTTTAAAGACATCTCGAAAAATTAGTATTGCATCTAAGCTGATATAAAAAATACGAATAATGATAAATTATTTTCTCATTCAACACTCAAATAAAAAATGACACTGATTATTCTACTAAAAATATTTCAAAAAAATGATAATGCAATTATATAACATTAGATAAATAACTGTTATTTATAAAAAAAAATTTTTTACAGTAATGATTACTGCCGTTCAATAATTGAGTGCACGCAAACTTGTTTTGCTCAATATAGACAAGACTATGCGAGAAAAAAAACAAATCGAAGGATATGTATCTCGTCGAAACTGAAAGTGTGGACTGCGACTATGAAAGGTGACAATAGTAGGAGAAATTTGCATAAGATTCTGTGGCTTCGATAATATAACGGGCAAATTCTAAGAAAAAAATTCTACTTGTCTTGAAATGTGAAAAATAGAATACATTAAGATAAGAATAGTTTTGTGACATTTAAAAACAAAAAAAATTAACAGACATACTTAAAAAGACAAATTTTGAATTTCTTTTTTTCTTTCAAATGTGTCTTATAAAGTAATTAAATATTTAGTATTTCGTGTACATCACTCTTTTAATATTAATCAGGATTCACTCAAGATTTAAAAATTATTTTTATAATTCAATATTATCCAAAATTTGTTACAAATTTTTTGAAGAATTAAAGTATTAAATGTAATAAATTTTGTTTATTTATGTGCTCTTTTTCAGCATAATCTATATAAGATCCAAATAAATAGAATAATAATTTTAAAGTATAAATTATATATGAGAAAAGAAATTTGTATAAATTCAGATTCTACAAAAATTCTTAATATGTACCACGATCAATTTTTAAATGTTTCACATTCTCATTAAAGTTAATCTTAAATTAACACCCATAAAGGCATTTACATTCAGATCGACTAGAGTACTTAAAATGACTTCTTATTAATCGCCAATCCTGTATGTGTATATATCCTTACACAATTTTTATTTGTTACGTTCGAATAAATTCGCACAGCTTTGTCGTGCAACCAATTTTCGCGATGTTTGTTCGGTAAAAAATATACTAATCGTTTTATCACGTGTGAGATTTTTCGGAAATATTCTATTCTAAATTTCATCAATTATATCTTATTTGTATTTAAAATCAATATGTATAATAAATCTATTTTAATCAAAGTTAATCTAATTGCAACGTAAATATGATACGTTTGTATTTTTTCGGTAAGTTATAACAAAAATTTGGATCATTTTAGAAAGATACAAAGATAAATCTTACGTAGAATATTTGTTCATGATCAACAGAACCTTTAAAAAATCGAATTGTTTTCCCGTGTATTTTTAAGAAGCAAATTCATAATCAATGTCAAGAATGAATTATCTTAAAATATTTTGCATAATGATGCATACCTATTCGAGTGAATCTTTTTCTTCTACGATTGTTTTGTAATTATTATAAATAATTCATTTTTCCATTCATATTCTGTGTACCGCTTTGATGAGAAAATTTTAGTTCGTTGAATCGATTTAGACAACCCGTCCGATCGATTCTTAAATTTTCGTGAAGATTAATCGCATAAAGTGTAAATTCATGATTTCGACGAAGAAGACAATGCAAGTGCGCAGTCGGGAAACTCGTTCGATATTAAAATTCATTAAAAATTTGTCGCATCTCATGTACTTGTCTATATTCGCATAGTGTCACTGATGGCGATATAGAATTGGATGCACGAATGTGTGACGCCTGATGTGTTTATTCCTGAGCGATCCGGCCCAGTTTTAGCTCGAGACCACGGTCCCCTGTACGATACAATCTTATCACAAAAGTCATTACTACAAAATGTCTCTTATATTTGTTTCTTCGCTATCTATCGGTTTTCTTTTTTTTTTTTTTGTTTAATTCTTTGTATCCGTTTCGTTTTTGGTATATTTGCACGATTTAAGCCTAAGAAATCGCACGCGCGTCGGTCCCGGCATGATCATTGTTCGTCCTTACGCGTTTCCCTTACCAGCCTCCGTCTCTCGTGCTTCTTCATACACATACATTTATCTCGTCTACACGCCCAATTTGCCGCGATACATACGCAACGTATGCGTATGCATATTTATGTATAAACAGGCGCTGCGAGGCGTTGACAGCGATCCCGATAGTAGAGTCGATAAAAATAGTTCTCAGTCGTTAATTCGATTTTTATGAACATGTATGTATAGCTATGTATATGTGTAGTTTTATGTATAAGAAAAATTTCTCGCACAGCTCCGTTCGCCGCACGTTCCTCGCTTGTCCTCTTTTGTCCCTCTTTCGCCGTGAAACGTAGAGCGTCGCCTACCGTTAGTCAACCACAAGAATCTTCTTCGCGCTCTCAAACACACGCACATACCATACACACGTACCATATATGGTATGTACATATATGCATAATATATATTTATATATATCTGTATATACACAGGAGGGGGAGGGAGGGAGGGGAGAGATTGGACAGACAGTTAACATAGCGCGTTAGCTTCGTTCGAGGAACCCAGGTCGGTCGTCGGTGCATCGTCCTCCTTTCCGTCCCACTTTCTCGGCCTTCTTCATCGTGCTCCTCTGTGCATTTCGTGCGCAACTTTCTCGGGCCTCGACTTTTCATTCGCCCCAGCATCGTGCAATTCTCCTGCATGGATCCGAGGATTCGTCTGGTGTGTTTTACATTGCGCAGCTGCGATCGGGAGGACGAGCGAAATCGTTCCGAGGATCGGCGAGGCAATTCTCCCCCCGGGCGCGAGGTGTAAACGATGTCGCGACTTCGTGGATAGAGGCGGTACGGGTCGCGCGAGAGGTCAAGGGGATGAGATGAAGAGATAGAGAAGAAGGTCTCGATAAGGCGAAGGATCTTACGGCGGAAGTGAGAGCGCGTGGGCGGGTGTTGTTCTTTGTACAGGCACCGACAGACACAGATAGACTGATCGAGAGACTGACCGGGGAATCGTGACTGATCGATCGACCGGTCGAGCAAGCGACCGATACCGATTTGACTGACTGAGACTGACATGGCACGGCGACTCCGATCGAGAGTACACGGTCACAACGTCACAGGCCACCTGCTGGCACACAAACAAACACACGGACAGGTTAGTCACCACCACACACCAGATATGAAGGTTCATCCCCGGGCAAACGCGCGCGGTGACGGCTCCTCCGAGGCCCCGCGAAGCCGCGCTACTGTGCCCAATTGTCTCTGCAGACTCGCATTTTCAAATAATAACAGATGAGAACACTCGTACGAATTTTTAATTTGTTTGGTCGTTATTATCTGTCACAAAAATGAACATGCGGTACGGTACGGTTAATCCCTTAACAGAAAAAGAGAACTTCACGGAAAAAATATGTTATCAAAAGTTACAATTTCGCTACGAGTATCTTTTACGCTGATGAAAAAAACAAGATAATAAAAATGACCAGGAGATATTGCTTTATCGAGTTATAATAACGCTACGGTGAAACAATATCTCGGAAGCTGCGTGTCCGATGAGAGAATTGCGCACACAAAGTACAGAATGACGAGCGTCAGAATGCATTAAAAAGTCAAACGAATTATTTGCGAGGCCTCCGAACCGATGACACCGTGCGTCGTGTACGCGGGGTACTTTGCCGAGTCGTCCTTTTCAAGCACGAGCAACGAGCGTCCACTTTAATTCAGCTTGACAGACAGTCACAAGGAAAAGATAAACAAAAAGTGTTCGACAGCGCATTTGTGAAAACTCGTTGCTAATGCAACGCAATTGAGTGAAGCTCGCCAATGGTTTCCAGGAATCAGATTAACAAATAAAATAGTCGTTCAGATTACACATAGTAATCTCCTATAGCAGTTTTATAGCCAAAAGCCCTTTGTTATTGTTTACTAATGAAATCGTGACGAAAGTGAAAATAATGAGTAAAACATTTTTTTTTTAATTCTTGAATGTAATATCATAATTTCTTACTTTAAATGGAAACAACTGGCTCACCCACCGCCTGCGACGATCGGTTGCATATCCCTTTCCCCCCTCCCCCCTACCCCCAAAAAATCACATGGCAATGTTAGTATTACTAACTAATAAAGCGTCGTAGCGTGATTAACCATAGAAAACTTAGTGATATTATTATCACGTGAGAACGTATCGAATTCTGTGCGTTTCGAACAATAAACGGAGGAAGTACACGCGGTATATAATAGCTGCTGACATAATTACAATGAGTGAGATAGATCTTTGTGTTTATCGCTCGTATCTGCCTGGTTCAATTGCCAGCTCAAACTACGGTGGTTATTGATAGATGAAGAAATTAAGAGATAGAAAGAGATAAATTATAAAAAAAAATTATAGAAAGAAAAAAAAACAGAAAGAGAGAGAGAGAGAGAGAGAGAGAGAGAGAGAGAGAGAGAGAGAAAAGTCAAATCGTCAAATGGTTACGAGGTACGGACTCGAACGCTGCGTGAAAATTCAAAGCGAACTAGTCTTACCCTCCTAGGGGAAAAGCTACGTTGTTAGTGAACTTCACGTACGTAATTTCACTTTGTGCAACAGTAAGTTAGCACAGAAAGCTTTACTGGCAGCCTTTGCAACGAAAATGTAGTTTGATTGCATCATCCGGGAACGTGCCGCCAGGCTTTGCACCTTCGAGATACGAAGAGACGAACGAATATTTTTCGAAAACCGTGCGATAAGTACGGGCGGATATTACGGGTGAATATTTGAAAGACCCCGTTGCGCATTTAGCGATGAACGTGGCTATTCGATTCCCAACGCGTGCGTATTATATTATGTGTGTGTTCTTTGTAACTAGATAAACTGAATCCAGAAGTGAATGAGCACGTTTAACGCTAAATGCGCGCCGCTAACATTCCTATATGGACATAATTTTAACCGGACACTGAACTTTAATCTACAAATCGAATTAAATTTGAACTCAAAAAGTCTTTATCCGTCCCGTATAAACGGAGAAATCTCTAGAACCGTCTAGAGTTATTTGTTTTGAAAGCCAAATATCGATTGTATTTTTTTGCGAAGGTAGAAATCGAATTAGAGATTCGAAATGAATAGATATATCACAATCACATCATGAAGCCTCTACATGCAAATTTCTTTCTCTTTTATGAAAGCGTAGTAAAGTCTTCGCATATCTCTTGCATGCAAAATCCCTTTTTTTTAACGAGAATATATAAACAATACTCAACATATATAACAAAGTTTCTTAAAATTCAACGCGAAGGCGCTTTCGACGTAAAAAAAAACAGCTTATTTAATTCCTAAAAGAATTGATTGCGCGTATTTATAATAATTCTTGATTAATTATATCTCAACGGATTCACTGAATCCGAATGAGTTTTTAGAAATACCGGTCATAGTCTCTGAAATCGATCATCACAGGCTATAAAAAATCAAGTGGTCTGAAATAATAATGAGCTAATACTGATTCGTTAATCCTGTATTCCGTCTCCTGTTAAAATAACGGAAATGGATTATCGAAAAAAAAAAGCAGGATTTTTCTATACTTAACTCTCCGGCACTGGAAGAGTTAACGGATGTATTATGATATATATATATATACGATCGCGACGTGGCACGGACGTGAACGGAACAGACAGATTGTTGGATTAAAAATGTACTGAATGTGTTCACACATGGGCGGACCGGCAGGTAGAAGAGAGAAGACAGTTCGGCGGGACAGTTCGCACAAGCGACACGTTAAAAGAAATAAATTACGTTCCTGCACCTCGGAAGAAAAGTCAGTCCGACGGAGACAAGAGAGTCTTCTGGATTATCACAGCCTCGTTTCGATAGGACGGCGAAGGTGTCGAGCGGCGACGTCTCCTCTTCGGCGTCCGAGAACGCTCGATCGTAGACCCGTTAACTCGCTAACCTTCGTGGAAAATACTGCTTGACTAGAAAGTATATCGTGGAATACGGCCACCACCTAATACTTTCGCTTTTGTCTACCTAGACCTATCGCTAATTTTCGCGAAATCCGCTGCGGAATAATCATCAACCATCGCGGTTGTTAATTATAAGTGCGCGAGCGTCGTCCAGACTAAGGACGCCGTCGGGCCAAGGTGTCCGAGTAGTCCTTGGTATCTACCTACGAACGTTCTGTGACGTCAGCTAGTACGGCTTGGAGGCGTCCTTGGACCGTTTCAGCTGGACCTTCAGTCGCTTCATGCCGATCTGGAAACCGTGCATCGTTTGGATCGCCGCTTGCGCACTCGACGCATTGTCATACGATACGAAACCTGAAAACAACATCGCAAAATGCAGAATACATGCGGATTCCATTCGTCCGTGCTGCGTCGAGTCACAAAATTTATCTGTACGTTCAAACACTCTTATCTATTATTCGTTACTCGACGTTAATTTCAACTTACCGAAGCATTTACTCATGTGCGTGTGCTTATCTATGAAAACTTTGGCGGATATGACGTTGCCGAAGGGCAAAAAGGTAGAGATGAGGTCTGTGTCGCTGAACTCCTGCGGCAGATGATAGATAAAAAGGTTGCAACCTTCGGGACCCTCGATCTGCTTGTCCGTGCTGGTGAACTTCGTCTTCTGCGCTGCCGCCGCCGCAGCGGCCGCAGCCGCCGTGAACGCGGGGAACCCTGAAATTCGAACATACTGTTGGTGTTGCTCGCGCTAAACCAAACTCAATCGCGGGAAATATTATACAATCCCGCATATTTTTCGAAGTGACATAAATCGCAAAGAAAATACCGAAAGCAATGTTCTAAATAATTTTGACTATAATCATCATAATCAGATTTTAATTGTAGATTAGCTATTTTTCAAAATTTGATTTACACCACTTCATTATGAACAGTTCCGGTTATCGATACAACTCTGTACATTGGCTTGGCACGTCCCAGCTTACAGAAACACTAAACAAGCTCTGATTTTCGAATCTATCCAATCACTTTGGTCTACTCTGAATATAATAAGTAAATAAGCACGTTATACGATCAATAAAATGAGAAATAAATATTCAATAATGTATAAAATATACACAGCATTATAAGAGAAGATGTAACTTTTTAAGCTCTCCAATATTTGCAACTGTGGCACTATAACACATTTCCACTTGGTCGATTTTCACGAGTGTATCTTGTGCGCTGGGGTACGTGGGATATTCCGATAGGCACATGCGAACCTATCGGTTGTTTTTCTTTCAAGCATTCATTTGGTTCACTTCCATATTCCGATACTTCCCAGCAGCTAATTTGCTTTAATCGCAAATTAATTGGCCAGTTTTAAAATCTCGCGTATTTGCATTGATTTTATATAATGTTCCACGGGGGGAAAAGTATAAAATTATATAACCCGAGCTGACGCTAAATGCATGATATCGAATGTGCGAAGATCAATATTAAACGCCACGAAAAACTGCCATTTTTTTTATTAAAAAAGATAATTACTATCTCTGATAATTAATCCAATTTTAATAATCATATTTCGTAGCGTCAGTCAAATTATTTTGAATATTGTATGACAGTTTACGTATCGTGGCGCACGAATTAATTCGAAAGTCAACCATATGAGCGACTTGACACTAAAACCTGGGACGATCCACAGAAATATATAATCAGGCAATCTACTTATTATTACTCACTATGCAATTCTTTCTTTTCCACGGTCACCGTCGTCTTTCCAATGAGAGCTTTAATGCGCACAGTTTACGTATTAGAAAGTAACCTTTTCAACACTGTTCACGCGGATGCAGAAAGGCAGTGTGGACTGCGTTTAACGATTTTCTGTGTACATCAAAAGTTGCTCGACAAGCCGAATAATTACCTGCATACTGCTGTAAGCTGGAATAGGCGTTGCTCAGCGAGTCCTGAAGTCCGTTTAACGGCGTCCCCGTCAAGGAATTGAGCGTGAGAGATGTTACAGGACTAAGACTGCCCCCGGTAGACCCTTAAAGACGAACACTACAGTTATTTATTTTACTGATTCCCAAGTATAAATTTCGATACCCAAGCCTAATTATTATTCTGAGGCATCTCTCACGTGCTGCGACATCGCAAGAACGTCAGTCGCTCCGAGTTTGTTATTACTATTAAAGGCAGGAAGCAACGTACTTATGCAATACGATATATTCATTCTATCAAATATTACTACTTGATATTTGTATAAGAAAATTTATTAAAAAAAGAAACGAGAGCAACTTTATTTAAAAAATGTGATATACTCCCTATGACTCTTTTTTCGTTGATTATATTCATTAAGTCCAACTTTGTATAGTTAAAAATTTTAAATTTTAGTTATAAATAAATTATATTTAAAATTAATGTAATAATGAAACTTATGATAACAATGTCATATCTTATCAAAATCAAATTATAATTAAATTGTTTCAATAGCAATGTGAAAATATGTCTTTAAAATTATTTTTAAAAGCAGGAAAAATATAAATTTGAAAAATGTATGAATGAATAAAATTACAAACGTTTCAGTGTGATACATATAAAATATTTCTCTTGACAGGAATTTAATTAGTATTTTAACAGTCCAAATTTTAGAGCATAAGAGCAATGTCATATGTTCCTCGATATTGAGATAGAAATTCGTTATATAACGAGATATTAATGATGATTTTAAAATAATTTAAAAGTATAATACACTTTCATGCACGATAATTTATATGGTAAAAAATCACGCGCCAATACCCGGGTTAATTGCAATAAGCGTTTTATGAAAAAATCCTACTTTTCTTTTTCATTATGCACAGACATTGTTGCCGATTAAATTCTGATTATGGAAAATCGTGCATCTATTAATTGCGATAAGCGTTTGTGCAAGAATCGTATATTCCCCCAATACATCTCAAATATACACACACAATAATTTAGATCTCATATACGTTTTGTTAAAACAATTAACGACTGATGGAGAATAAAAATCTGTACATTCCTAAAAGCACCGACGAGGTCTCGCCAATTAATGCATTAATTCGATATGTGAAAATTTTTACAACAATTCGATGTGCAGCACCAATCAGTTACTAATTGGCTCGGCCATTCATATTCGTGGAAATATATGTATATATATATATATATATATATATATTTATTTATTTATTTACAGAGTGTCATAGAACTATCGTGCACAACTTTTCAGCTTACAAAATTCATGATTCAACGTTCAATACAATTTCCCACCGCGATTTTGAACGCTATTATCTTTACCATATTTAACGTTTTTAATATTTTTCATAAAATATCTTTGTGACTTATATTTGAATTAAAATTAAAACCAAAATCCATGATCGAAAAATAAGATTTCACTATTTTTTTTCATTTGCAAGAATTTTAATCCTAAAAAATCAATACTTTTCAATTATTTGAATCTATTTCAATGTTACAAATAAACGCACACGGGACACCCCATACATTTGGGTTTTTATAACTGATAAAGAGCGCACTATGATATGTATAAAACTCAAAATACAGTATTGATTGAAGCAGCAGAGACCTGTACAATTAATGAAATCTACAGCCAACAATAATTATCAATATTGCATTACAATATATAAAAGACAATAATAAAAAATATACAAATGTAATAGAGAGGAAAAATGATGAGAAAGGAATTCGAAAGGAAGATACATAATGTTGCGATATACGATAAAGAATCAACCAAACAATTTCTCTTCCTACGAATATCTCACCTGTATTTCCTGTTTTTCCCAGAAGAGCAGCTACGCACGAAAAAAAAAATACGTTAAAATTGTGAAGTACGTTCACATAAAAGAAAACAAAGAAACGTAAAATATGTGATTGTAATATAATTCGTTATATTATAATATGTTCAGTACGGTATAAAAAAAAAAAAATAAAATATTTCTACCTGCAGCTTAAGATTGTTGTATACAAATTTTCATAACAGCATAAATACAAACTTTATAATTAAACAGGAAATATAATTTTTGTGGAAAATTATTAGAATATGCTCTTATGTAAATTTCTATACAATATTTATATATAATATTACTCCGTATTCTAATTATTTCATAATTGTAAACGTTTCATTCAATTTTATTTAATAAATTTTCAAAATTAAAAATGTTATAAGTATTTAAGATTTTATGGAGATATTGATGGGATTTTATAGAGAAAGAAAACATTAGTAAGAAATAGGTAAGAAATCGTTAATAAATTTTTGATAGATAAAATTGATAATCGTGTCATTAAAAATATGTAGATAGATTCAATTTTTAATATTTGAAAAATTTTTTTATATATCTAATTTCTTATCGCAATTAGCTATTAATTGTAATTTTATTGAAATAATTGTTTCGGTATCTTGAACTCGGAATAATCCTTTAATTACGTTGTAATCATACAAGAGTTTACGCCCGCCATGAAAATTGGTATGTAGATAGAAACAGAGAATATGAGGAAATTCGAGAGGGTGCGGGGGAAGGGAAGGGAAAGTGTAAGCACGTGCACACACGCACACGTGCACGTACACTATTAAATAAGCGAAATGGGGGAAATCAGACCATCAACAGGATTAGGGCCCCTTTTGCATGATCGAAATTAATTTAGTAATTGTTAATACTGTACCAGGCAATACGACACGTACATAGCGACATACCTGCTGTCGAATTCGCCAGGCCGCTTAATGCTGAAACACAAAACACGTTCGCGATATTAGCAAAAGCAGGGGTCGGTATGTACCTACAGTATAATCAGGTGAAACAAAGCTTTGACGGAATTTTCCCAGACATGCCGCCGGTATTATATTTTTAATTGCCACTAAACAATTTGTAAAGTCAACAGTTTTAATGTATCAAATTAATACGATGAATCAAGTGTCAGGCGAGGCAGTAACGTCTGCAAAAAATATTTGCTTTGGCTGTCGTGTTTGCTAACATAATTATATAAGTAAATTATCTAAATATTTCATTGAATATAAAATAATAATTAAATAAGTAGCCATTTTATAAAAACAATTTTGTGAATGTATGCATAATAATTGCAATATTATGGTAAAATGAACTAATTAAATACCCAGAGGGGATTTTTTTTATTAATTAAAAAGTATTACAGACGATTCATTTTAACTATAGCTGAGATATAGTTCTATAGATGAGTATATAGTTGAGAGTATAAAATAAATTACTGAAATAAATGCAAGTAAATTCTTATTATATCATATTTCTGATCTCTTATTTTGCAATTTTCAGATTTACTATTTCTGTTCAATGTCGACTGGATTGTTATAATCGTTTGAAAAACTCGTTCCTGTGTTAATACTGTTTATACTACTTGCGTAACTCTTTAGATGTGACAAACGCAATGAAGCAACCTGCATACTTGACTTACTTTCCTGTTGACTTTACATAAATCAAAGAAGAGGTATCGTGCATGAAAATAAAAAAGGTTTCGTCGATTCCGGTGAAAGGCGGTTAATTACGCAATTAACTACGGAAACGTACATCTTACCTGACTTTATGCATTTACATAGATTAATATACACACAAATACGATGGAGGTACGGATTACTAAAAATTTCATTTTATACTTCTTTGGTATAATAATCTACAAATATAAACAGTAAATTTCAGACGACAATCAGAATATGATAATGATTAATAAGTTATTCATATTGAAATGACAATTTTAATATAAAAAGATAATTCACAAAACTATTCTGCCAGTAATTTTGTCGAAATAAATTTTTGACCAAATGAATTTTGTCATATTAAAATATTAATTGCAATATCGTTTAATTAATTAATTTAACTTGGGTATTCAATAGATATTATTTCGAAATTCTCTATTTTTTAAAACAGAACACGACTTGTAAATGTAAATGTGAAATTAAAATTATATGTTCGTTCGCAGAACATTTTTTTTCTCTTGATTGACTTCTAGAATATATTATTTACAACTGCGCAATATATTCTGAAACACCTTACTACCATCGTACATATAATTACGATTAAAGGCTGTTAATACAGTTTACAGAAGATACATATAGATATATATAGACACGCTGTCGCATTATTGCTACCATTGTAATCGCGGCACGATTTCGACCGCTTTACCATGCATACCTACAAAAGCGTGGACAGTTCCACCCGTTCGGCTCGAACTTTAACAACGCATGCAATCATTAAACTCCGACTGCGTTCAAGCGGATTTACCGTCTACCGCGAGTAACATACGTGACGCATAAGCATACAGGTGTTTTGTATGTACAATTGGTATAGGAGGACACAATATAACGTGGTCCGAAGTTATGCAAATAATTCGAAGCGCCGGACAGTTCCGCGCGGAACCTACAGCTGCAGATTAATGCTTACGATAATGTTCTCTGATTATGCGTCTCGCAAAATATTCTCTACTCACTGTTTGGCGACACCTGGAGATTGCCGTTTCCGCCGGTCATAGCTGCCAGAGTGACGAGGTTCTGCATACTCATTGGCGACACACCCGCATTTGCTGTAACATAATGCGTCGAAATTTATTGTAGAAAACCTCAATGTGCACTAGATTTATATACCATGATGATGAATATATAGCGTATCATTTAATGATTGGAGAAAAAAAGCTTAAGTAAAATTTTAATTTAATCTGCAATAATTTAAGCGGTACATAAAACAGCTTTAATTCTAATTCTAACGACATTTATGGCGATACGAAAGATATTAACATTTTAAGTAATGTTAAATTAAGAATCTTGAATGTCTACATTTGATTTAATTCAAGTTCTCTCTCTTCATTGCATATTGAAAGTAGGTTACATGTCATTCTATGTTCAGTTTGTGTCCATGTGAACTCGTTGCGTGACACTGAAACGTCATTGAATGACCGTACGTTCCGCAGCAATAAATGGTAAACATATGTGTCGGAGTAAAGTTAATGATAGACTCATTAGAGACATGTATATCATCATCCTGATATCCTGATCCCATTAAACGTAGAATTTTATTATTGCCTAGTAAGCTTGTGCAGGATTCGTTATAACTTTCGAAAAGATACGACCCATGGGACGCGATCGTATACGCGATGGAAGTTGGAGAATGTAAGCGCGAAATAATATAATTTATTCTGACACCGATATGACTGCGCGGACGAGTAATTTTAGCGAAGAAACGGATAAAATCTCATTTTGCGCCAGCCAAAGCGAATCGATCATATTCTATGATACTTTACATCGGAATGATGGTGCGGAATCGACATATTTTTCAGCAGAAAACGGACCGTTTCCCGAGAGAAATTATATATTTAAATTTACCCGCGCATCCCTCAAGATTTACGTTTTTAACTTGTTCGCGAAAATAAGTCTTCTATAAGTGCTGGAACACTGAGTATAGAGTGGGGTCAAAAGGTGACGCGACAAAGTTAAACTTGCACATTTAAAACAGATGAGTTGAAAAGATTGTATATGTCAGAGTTACACTAATATTAGAAATGTGAAAGAATTGACGTAATATATGATAAATGTAAATGCACTGACGGCTGGATATATTTTAAGCGTATCATATAATACGAAAATCCCTGTCATTAATCAGAAAAATTCAAATTTGTATAAAATATACGAGTGAAAAGTAGTAACAAAAAGTAAAACCAATAACAAAAAGAACAAATATTATCAATTTTCTTAATATTGAAATATAATGTTTCTCAGAATTTTCTTGCAATCTTAAATTAAAAATTTAAAAAGTAATAGAATATGTTAACTTGTTATTATACATTATACACAAACTGATACGAAATATACTCACATGTTATACTCGTACATGTTATACACGAACTGATTTAAGGGGTTACACCTTGAGCGCCTAAAAATCATAGGTAACTTTGGGAATTTTTTTTAGGAAAACAATAAAAGTAATACAAAATTCGTTTTAAGGCTTTAATAATACATGTCTTTAGAAGTAAAAAATATTTTTTTCATTTATTTTTTAATAAAATGACGACGCTGAAGCCATTTTATTAAACGTCGTTTTTGTAACCACTGTCAAATCGGCGTTGCGGGGATCTGTCATTCGATTAAACCTGGAGCAATAAACTAAAATTTTTTAAAAACTATATAATATGTACTACAGAAGTACATACGGATATTTTAAAATATAGATTTTTATAAAAATTGCGAGCATTTGAAAAAAAATGTCATTTTACGGCCAAAAAAATTTTGTCAAGAAATGTTAAATAAAAAAAAATAATTAACATATTCGAAATAATCCGTATGTACTTCTGTAGTGCATATTATATAGTTTTTAAAAAATTTTGGTTTTTTGTTCCAGGTTTAATCGAATGGTAGATCCCCGCAACGCCGATTTGACAAAACGACGTTTAGTAAATTGACTTCAGGGTCGCTATTTTGTTAAAAAAATAAATAAAAAAAATAT